TCCAGGGCAGCATCTGTTAGCTGAAATATGTCAATTGGTATACCATCTATTCCTGGGGCCTTATTTTTTGCTATTTCTTGCTCATATGTTGTTTCATGAAATTCTTATGTTTCTCCTAATTCCTTTCAATACAATGACTCATTATATTTATTCTTTCCATCTTTTGATACTTCCTAGATCATTTAATACTCTGCCTAAAGCATCCTTGATTATAGCAACTTGAGGTTTGAATTTGTTCTTCAGTTCCTTGAGCTTAAGAAATGCTGAGCAGCTCAGTGGACACCCTGGTGCAGACTCCCTACCACCGGTCAAGAGCTGCTGGATCCTCTGAAGTTGGGCCTTGAATCCCAAGTTCAAAATTCTTACTCAAGCCTGAACCGTGGGAAGAAAGCTCGGTAGCCTTGCTCCTTGACAGACATGATGCTTACCAAAGTGGCCCAATCACAGACCATGTCTCTGCTTCGGAGGGGGCTTCATTCTTCAGCGCCTTCTGCTGTTTCTGTTGCCACCAAAAAAACAGTCCAAGGCCCTCCATCCTCTGACTACATTTTTGAACGGGAATCTAGGTATGGGGCACACAACTACCACCCTCTGCCTGTAGCCCTGGAGAAAGGAAAAGGGATTTACGTCTGGGATGTGGAAGGAAGGAAGTACTTTAATCCTGAGCGCTTACAGTGCTGTCAACCAGAGTCACTGCCACCCGAATATCGTAGATGCCATGAAGCAGCAGGCAGAGAAGCTGACCTTAACCTCCAGGGCTTTCTACAATAATGTGCTTGGAGAATATGAAGAGTACATCACTAAGCTTTTCAATTACCACAAAGTGCTGCCCACGAACACAGGCATGGAGGCCAGAGAGACAGCCTGCAAACTCGCCCGGAAATGGGCTTACACAGTCAAGGGCATGCCCAAGTACAAAGCGAAGATCATTTTTGCAGCTGGAAACTTCTGGGGTAGAACAATGTCTGCCATCTCCAGTTCTACAGACCCAACCAGCTATGATGGATTCAGACCCTTCATGCCGGGTTTTGAAATCATTCCCTACAATGACCTGCCTGCCCTCGAGCGCGCTCTCCAGGACCCCAATGTGGCCGCATTCATGGTGGAGCCCATCCAGGGTGAAGCCGGCGTCATCATCATGGACCTGGGCTACCTCCAGGGCGTGCGGGAAATCTGCACCCAGCATCAGGTTCTCTTCATCGCTGATGAAGTCCAGACGGGCTTGGCCAGAACTGGCCGGTGGCTGGCTGTCGATTATGAAGATGTGAGGCTGGATGTGATTCTGCTTGGCAAGGCCCTCTCCGGGGGCTTGTACCCTGTCTCCGCCGTGCTGTGTGACGATGAGGTCATGCTCCCCATCAAACCCGGGGAGCACGGCTCCACCTACGGCAGGAACCCCCTTGGCTGCCGCGTGGCCATCGCAGCCCTTGAGGTCTTGGAGGAGGAGAATCTGACTGAAAACGCGTGCAGAATGGGTGTCCTCTTGAGACGTGAACTCATGAAACTGCCTTCTGATGTGGTTACTGCTGTCCGAGGAAAAGGGTTACTGAATGCCATCGTCATTAAAGAAACCAAAGATTACGATGCTTGGAAGGTGTGTCTCCAGCTTCGAGACAATGGACTTCTGGCCAAGCCGACCCACAGTGCTTATCATCCGGCTGGCGCCTCCACTGGTGATCAAGGAGGACGAGATCCTGGAGGCTGTGGAGATCATCCACAAGACCATCCTGTCTTTCTGAGAGTGGTCACGGGCATTGGGCTGGAGACGGACAGGAGGTTCTGGGGGATGCAGTTAAGACTGCTCTAATGCAGACACCTTCCACTCCCAGTGTCCCCCAGGACCGGCTTGGTTCTTACTTAGTAGAAGTACAATCCTGCAGTGTGCTGTGTAATGTAACCTAGAGTAGTGGCGTCTGCATGGAAGCGTTTGCTCCTGTGTGTGTGTATGTGTGTGTGTGAGTGTGCATTCTAAAGTGAAATCTCCTCAGCCTTTCAATCAGGTCCTGTGAGTGTAATTTATATACTTTAGAAACTCTTTGCTTGTAGAGGAAGTCTTTTATATTTGAAAATGTTACTCCTGAGAGAATAGATTCGCTCACCTTTGTGGAATTGAACCATGAGTGTTTGGGTAGGTTTAATGCCTGAGGTATAGCAGATACCAGGTTAAGTAAGTGTAACTTCTTACCGGTCAACAAGGATATATTCTATGGACGTCATGATTTTGAGTGAGGGGGGAAAAGATGTCATTCCCATATTATGTTTTGAGTGTTTGGAAAAAACCTTTTTAACAAATTATAATCAAAGTTTCTTTAAATTTAAAAGAAATAAAAGAATAAAGCTTTTATGTTATTACTGTGTTCTCTCCAATGACCTAACTGATTAAACTCCTTGGGAATGCTAAAAAAAAAAAAGAAATGCTGAGCGAGTTCGACCCTTTTGGTTTTCTGACTCCAACTCCTTGCACATTTCATTGTAATATTTTACTTTGTCATCCCTCGCTGCCTTTTGAAATCTTCTGTTCAGCTCTTTAATATCTTGAAATCTTCCTTGTGCTTTGACTTCTCTGTGCTCCAGTGCACTCTTCAGAGTTTTTTCTGACATCCATTTTGGTCTTTTCTTCCTCTTCTGTCTTTGTAGTGAACGTTTGCACTTTTCTTGGATGATATCCTTGATATCCTCCCACAACTCATCTGGTCTTCGCTCATCTGTGTTCAAGGCCTCAAACCTGTTCTTGAGATGGTTCTGAAATTCAGGTGGGATAGACTCAATGTTATATTTTGGTTCCTGTGGATCTGGTTTAATTTTCTTCAGCTTGAACTTGCATATGAGAAGTTGGTGGTCTGCTTGCTGAAACTGAGGAGGACCTGAAGCGCTTGCTGCTGAGGGTCAGGGACTGCAGCTTTCAGTCCCTGGATTGAATATGGATTGAGGCTCAATGTCAAGAAGACAAAGATTCTCACCACTGGACCAGTTGGCAGCATCAGGATGGATGGTGAAAAGATTGAGATTGTTCACAGATTTAGTCTGCTTGGCTCCACAATCAACACTGTTGGCACCGGCAGCCAGGAAATTAAAGGACGTATTGCGATGGGAAAGTCAGCTGTTAGGGACCTCTCTAAAGTACTGAAGAGCAACGGTGTGTCTCTGGAGACTAAGGTGCTTCTGGTACAGGCCATGGTCTTTGCAATCACTTGTTATGTGTCAGAGAGCTGGACAATGACTAGGGAGGATCGAAGGAGAATTAATGCTTTTGAGCTTTGGTGTTGGAGAAGAGCTGAGGACTGCTAAGAAAACAAACAGATTCATCCTGGAGAGGGTTAAACCGGGCTGCTGCTTGGAGGCAAGGATTCTGAGACTTCGTCTGACATACTCTGGTCATGTTGTAAGGAGGGACAGGTCCTTGGAGGAGGATATGCTTGGGAGGGTGGAGGGCAGGCGCAGGAGGGGAAGGCCCTCTGGGAGGTGGATTGATTCAGTGACTGGGGCAATCGGGATGAGTCTGTCAGAGACAATGAGATTGGCACAGTACAGAGCAGAGTTTAGAGTTGTTGTACATAGGGTCGCTATGAGTCGCAAGGGACTCGATGGCACCTAACAACAACAACATGCTAAGGACACTTAGAAAAAGGTATCAAGGATTTTACAATGGGTGCATATATTTGTTGAAAGGAAACTATATACAATACTACCTAGTAAATTTCACCAGAAGAGACTGCCCATACTTCTCCTGTGGAACACCCTGTGGATTCAAACCACTTGCTTTTGAGATTTCAATTGTTTGCATATGCTTTTTATTTCACAGTAAAGGCTACAGATAGCAATCTTCTCCACTAGGTGGCAGCAAAACAACTGAATTTACAAACTGCAGTTCTAATGCTACCACCACGTGTTCTGTAAAATCACATTGCAAATATACCAAGACGTGTTCTGTCAAATCACACTGCAAATATACCACCACGTGTTCTGTAAAATCACACTGCAAATATACCACCACGTGTTCTGTAAAATCACACTGCAAATATACCACCACGTGTTCTGTAAAATCATACTGCAAATATACCAGCAGCAGAAGAGGAAGGGGTGGTTATCTACTCTGACTCATCATCTATTGAACTCTTTGCTTTCCACAGTTGTCCTCACACGTAGGGCTGCTCGGCTCTATGGCAACTGGTTACCAGTGTCAACAAGGTGGGAGCCCCTACTCCAAACCTCTGCGCCCGTGCAGCCAGGAAACAAATAAGGCACATAAGTATAACATCACCACAATTTTAAAACATGCTACACTCTTAAAATGTTTTTAAATTCTTATAACTATCATATGAGAAGTAAAGAAAGTGGGTAAGAACAGATAGAAGCTGACTGAAGTGGGGAGATCCAGGGGAAATCTTGGTAATAAAGCATTCTCTTCACAATGAACACATGTCTAAACCAAGCCCAGAGGAGGAAGGTGAGTGATGGTGCAGGGTGCCCTGGGGCGAGTTTCTGGGAGTTGGATAGTGTTTGCTGCATTCAGCTGCTACAGACCTTCTAGGATAAACATCCCTATCCCTTGGGCTTGGTGTTAATTGTGTTTGGAAAGAACATTCTTCTAAGTGGTACAGCACTGGTCTGTCAGTTTGTTACTTGCTATACTGGCATAGCTTGGGTTTGCTGTGATATGAACGCCATATCACTGGTGTGTCAAAGACCATTAATTATTACCCATCGTGAACATGTTTGCTGGAGCTCCCAGATTAAGACAGGCTTGGAAGCAGGAGTGAGAGCCACTTCCTAAACAACATGCCTCGAAACTCTATGAATATTAGAGTTCAGATCTTTTGTACATAGGGTTGCTGTGAGTTGTACTCAACTTGACAGCACTTAACAACAACAATAACAACAGGCTGGAGAAAGTGTGTAAGAACATCACACCTTTGCCATCCTTTTGTTATTATTCTTCAAGGGCAAGCGAGCCAGCTCACAGTACAGGGAGGTGGCTGTGCAGACCACCAGCCACTCACCTGCGGTCAAATAGGCGTAATAGCACTGAGACCACCGGGATTCGTTCTTAAGTCTCTCGAAGGAATCGAATGCATCCTTGAAGTTCAGCTCGATCATGCTGCACCACCCTAGGAGAGACAAGCAGTCAGGTATTACCATAAAGCCTGGAGCTTCCAATACTTCAAGTTGCACCACTATCATATACTGGGGGTTCTATATTAACTACTAGAACACATTAAAGCAGTATTTTTTCACCTTAAGAAACTGCAATATTTTGTTTTTCTCCAGACTTCATACTTGTAATGCGAACTTAGAAGTAGACAGGTACTTCTTATTTCACAACTGACCGAGAAGTATAGAAAAGGGTTCTAAAGGTTTCTAGGGTAACCCCCAGTTGCTCCATGGCAATGCGCTGCTAGTCTCATCCAATGGCCATGCCTCTCTTCAAATTCTAGTTGATCAGCAGCTCCATGAGAGAAAGGCAGGCAATCTCCTTTTGTGCGATTTACAGCCTCAAAAACCCACCACAGGGCCAGCTATGAGTTAGTTCTTTCTCGATGGCAATGAGTTGAGTTAAACTCAGGAAACAATCCAATTTGCTCCTTACAACTGAGACATTGGCATCAGCCTATGCAGCGTTTCTCTGGAGGAGGCACATGCACATAAAAATAATGGAAGCAACGGCATGAGGTTGCAGACATAGCGGCCAGCTTGAAACATCTAATCAAATATTCTTCTTCTTAATATCTTTATGACGAGCAAAAGGCCAGATAGTTAGAAATGGATACTTTCCCCCCGCCCTGCCCAATAAATGTGGGGGAGCTGAGGCAGGAGCCCACCTTCCCCTGAAATAAAATTTGGTTTCTTACAGTTGTAAAGAAAAGTGATGGGAGGGGCCTTTTAAGCCTCCTGTTAACCACTGCGTCAGTGTAGAACTGCCCTGGGGGGGTGGGGGGGTGGGGGAGGCGGGGTTATCCAGGGCTAAAAATCTAAGGAAGCAGACAGCCACCTCAGCCCACCATGGAGTGGGGTGGTTGGTCGCATCAAACTCTTCATCATTCAGTTAGAACCCAAGCGCTTACCCACCACCCTATCAGGGCTCCTGGTGACAACAGCTGTTGCTCTCAGGGGCCACCAACTTTATTCCAATTCAGTGACCCCACGCAGGAGGAGACACTACGCAATCCTGCACCATCTTCACAATTGCTACCCTGCTCGAGCTTGTTTGCTGCATAGACTTCCTCTTTTAGGTTGACCCCCGCCCAAGCATGATGTTGCACTGTGCCCTCCTGGTAATGTTCACATTGTCTGATATGAGCTCTCACCATCTTTACCTTTAAGGGGGGCAGGCTGGCTGGACTCCATGTAAGCCAGCAGTTGTTGTTGTTGTTAGGTGTCACTGAGTCCAGTAAGATGGACAGCAACCCTATAGACAATGGGTGTGAAACCCGTCCTATCCTGCACCATCCTTATCATCGCTGACACCATGAATGAAGCCCCAAAGTACTTGGCCATTAACTGAAAGGTTACAGCTCAAACCCACAGGTCGCTCCGTGGAGGAAAGGGACAATCTTTGTCTCCAGAAAGATTATAATGCAGGGAACGCTAGGTGCCGTTTTCCTTCTGGCCTCTGGGATTTTTCTGAATCACAATTGATTTGCTGGCAATTGGTAGCCCTTACCAGACCGTTCCAAAGGTGGAGGCTGGTATCCAAGACATCAAGGAGTTTTGTGCTCAAAGCCACTGAACTAAGAGGGAGAAAAGGCAGAAAGGAAGGCCAAGGTTCTTTTCTTTAGACATTATTTCCTCCATGAAAGAAAATTCTGGTATCAGGTGTGTCTGGTATCACATGTGTGATCTTGGATGTGACATTTAAACTTAGAGAGTGTGAAGAGATTCTACTTTCAGAAAATTCTGTGTCAAATTTGATGAGATATGATATAAAACCAGCATATTTTGGAGGAAAAGTTTGGAATGTTTTGTTTTGTAAACATTATTGCACCATAGAGTGAGAACTGACCCACAAATGATCCTCTAGTTCAGAGGCAGTTAATTGCACAAAAGGAGACTGCCTATCCTCCTGTGGAGCAGCTGGTGGCCTCAGACCACAAGCCTTTGGGATTGCAGCACAGCTTCTGATACTTGGCCACCAGTGCTCAAGGGTAAAAGTCTGGACTATTTTGTTTTGCACAGTATACATTAGATCCAATAGTAGACATAAGATTTAACAAAATGCAAAATAGAGGTGAAAGGTAGCACAAAACTGTAATAGGAAGTCAAAACAGATTTTACCACTTACCCAACTATCCTTCCTACTACCTGAGTGGTGGGTTAGATGCTTTCTAAGCTTCCTTCAGCTCTAACATTCTATAATATAAATACATTTTCTGTCTAATTATCTGCCATCCCCTGGTCCTAAGTCATCATGGAGGTTTGGAACATAATTCAGGAACACAACCTTATCCACAGCAAGTGAAACAAGTGGCAAACATATGAGGGTCCCAACCTACAGAAACACCTAGTGGGAGAGGGGACCCTTGGTGATATAGTCCAGGGGAGCTGTGTTGCTGACGCCAAAGTGGCAGCTCTCTGGCAGTTCAAATCCAACACCTCCTCCGCAGGAGAAAGATGGGCAAGCTCCTCCACGGCCATTTACAGCTGCAGAAAACTCAGAAGAGGGTGAGCTATGAGTCAGTTCCTATTCCAGGGCTATGAGCTGGAGTTCTGAGTTGCAAAGACTTGAGCTGCAAATTGCCTCCCTGTGCACTCTCTGTCTCTTCGCCACTGTTGCTCTGCAGACAGCTTCCCGGATCCCAAATTTCCTTCAGATTCTCAGCAGGATCCTCACTTTTCCTTGCTCTACTCTTTACTAATTTCTCTTCTATATGGCTGTGAGGAGACCATCAAATGAAGAACTCCATGTCCCTATCTGGCCATGCTGCATTTGTCAGTTTCCCTGAACAAGTCTCCCTCTACTTCTCAAGGATTCTGTTTTATCATCCTGTGTATAGGTAAGGGATCCACCACCTGGTGCTGAGCAACAGAACTGCCTGCCAGTTATTAGAGGGGAATGTTTAGAGAAACAATGGCAATGATTGTTTTACTCTCCCATTTCTCAACAGTAAAGCAGGGCACCAATCCCTGTTCTACACGAAGATTGAGTTTTATTTGGGCAAATTCTTTATACAGCTTTATAGTGTTAACTAAAATTATTATTTTTATTTTTGTTATATAATACAAGTTGCTGGGTTGCTGTGATGCTAAACACTGTGACACATGTGTCAAATGTGATAATGGTTACCCATGGTGGACAGTGTTTGGTGGAGCTCCCCAATTAAAACAAGCTTGGAAGTAGGAGTGGCATCCACTTCTGATGTAGCTTGCCTCTGGAAACTATGAATGTGGAGAAACGATGAAAGTTATACAAGTGTTCAGGTCTTTGGTTCATAGGGTCGCTATGAGTCATCTACGACTTGACAGCACTTAACAACAACATGCTATACACAGCAAGTTTATAGTATTAGGTTTAATGGAAACAAACAAACATATGAACTTCTTCTTAAAAGTTTTGTTTGACCCTAAAGAAACCACAACTGCCACCCAAGCAGATATATGCACACCCATGTTTATTGCTGCTTTGTTCACAACATCAAAGAGTTGGAAATAACCCAAGTGTCCATCAACAAACAAATGGACAGGGCAGGGAAGCTGTGGTATACTCACACAATGGAATATTATGCAGCACTGAAAAACAAAGAACTCATGAAGTATACAAAATGGGTGACCATAGAGGACATTATGCTGAGTGAAGTATCTCAGTTACAAAAAGACAAATACTGCACAATGCCACTGTTATAAAATAGGACTTATATGAGGGTTGGGGGAAAAATTAAGAAAGAGAAAATAAATAATGTACACGGCATTGAAACAGATGAGGAAGAGAACTGTATAAAAGGAATATATGATTAGGTATTATTGGCATGACAAGAGTCCAGAATTAAGAGCTGGGTAGTAAAGTGGTCTAGGGGAGGACACTGTATGACAATGAAAGAACTTTTTTCCAAAGAAAAACATGAACTGGGAGGCAGGGAGGAAGGTTAGGGAAGAAAATGTGCAACAATGAAGGAGTGGAAATCCAAGTTCTTTATAAACTTTCATTAAAATCTTAATAAAAAAGGAAAAAGTGAAGCAGCAGCATCAAGAAAAAATTGGAAAAAAAGAAAAAAATTGGAAAGAATATCTAATTTTAAAAATTGTTCAAGTTTTTAAAAGTTGGCTGATGAGAGGTATACTATGGAAAAAAATATATATTCCCTCTGCCCTCCCCCCATAAGTAGCCTAGTTTTTTGTGTATGTGAAGAGAAGAAAATTTCTGAGTCCCAATTCTGACTGTCACTTGAGTGCATTTTTATGTCTTTGTGCCCCATGCACTCCCTCTATAAATTACCATTTACCTCTATCCTTCACAGCTAAATGAGATGACGTGCATTTAAAGAATATGTGGTAAATTTACAAAAGCATATTTATCTTCAACTCTAAAATGTGTTTATTTCTCAGAGTTTGAAAACTCAATAAAGATGAAGATAGCTATGAAATACTAGCTTGTTTTATGCTGAAAGTATCCCATAGCCTTTTTTGTGAGATGACAGCTCGATTATCTTTTCAGTGAGTATATGAATATTTTAGAGATGCATGAGTATTTGGGTCAATGTATATAAAAATCTGGAGAGCAAATCTATATTTAAAAAATAATACCTTGAAACATAATGTCAATGGAGGAAAAGTGTGAAACACACACAAAAAGACTGAAAGGGGTAAAAAAACCCACAATGTATGGGAATGAGCCAATGAAACACAATGTGAATAGAGGAACATGTGAGACACATTGTATATATATGAAATACAATGTGTATGGATTCTGTATGCAAACCAATATAAAAGAAAAATAATTTTAAAAACTAAAGTTTTGTTTGTTTAATGGAGTAACTATTACCTACACAGATTACAGAATTACTAATACAATGAGGTAAGAGAATAATAGAGAAGTCAGCAAAAATCTTAGAGCAACAATTGCTTAGAAGGAGGGAAATCTTAGATAGGTAAACACTTCACAGTCTGCTTATAAATGCATCTTCAGCTGGAGAGAAGCAGCTAACATCTTTGGAGGGCCTTCAGTGTTCCTGGCACGTACCAGATAATGTGTAAACTATTATTTCATCCAAACCTTACAACCAGCACAAGGGGAGGCAGCTTAACACTAATGGCAAAGAGTGACCTGGGAAACTTAAGAAACTTGCCCAGGTCCCAGGGTTATTGGTGGGAGAGCTGGCACTGCGATGTACCTGCCTAATGTTCTCTGATGCCACTAATTATTTGTATTCTCAAGTCAAAACTGATAAGCAAGTAATTTTGATTTCTGGCATGCAGTCCAATATGTTACTTATAAATGGTCATTATCAACTCATTTAACATTACCAATCATCCAAAATCAAGATATCATAAAGCACAAACTATTTTAAAGTAATAACAAGAATAATCAGAGTAAAAACTACTCTTACTTACACCGGGATAACACAGTCCTTGTTGTATAGGACAGTAAGCATTTTACACAGACACAAACTGAAAGGTACGAATAACGAAAAATTGCACAAGCCAAGCATTAGAACTATTTTACAGCAAGGAAGTGATGGGCATCTCATATTTACCAATTTCATATAGACACACATGTTGGATTTCTCTCTGATCTATTGCAAGTTCCAAAGCAGTGTGAAAAGATGTCAAGGCACAGTTGATTTGACACTAAGGGTGCAAAAAAAAAAAGAAAAGAAAAAGAAAACAGAGTTACTGGCTAACATTTGTCATGTACTTTATAGCACTCGTAATTCAAAATAATCATTTTTATTACAAGAATCAGGAAAAAAATCACAATTTGTCCTTGTTATTGTTACTAGAAAAACCATTGTTAATAGCGCCTTCCAATATATTTCCTTCTGTTTAGACAGTTTCTACCGGTGGGGATGAGCTCAGCTTCACTTCTTCTTAAGAGTTTGACAATAGACTCTGTTGCATTAAAATTGCTTGCTAATCTGGCTCCTTGTTACTGCTCAAGGGCAGGGACATGCCTCCTTCTCCTTTGCACATCTACCCAGGCACAGAAAGGGTCTCAATCAGCTTTGCAGGAAATAACGTTCATTTAGCCTCGTTCCCATGAATCTGTTTCTAAAGTCAACCACATACTCTCTAGATTTTCAAGTTAAGCTTTGGTACTTTACCCTTGAATCTATTCTTCAATTGCTTCTGGTCATCAAATCTCCGTTCATTCAACTCAGACATTCCCCGAGCATCCAAATTAACAGGCACACTTACTTTACTGTGCTTTTCTGTTTTGTACTCCACAAAAAGTATTGGGGGGGGAGGGGTTGTTTGGGGTTTTTTTAATAACTTAAGGTTGTGGTCAATTTACATTAAGCAAGTTTATCAGTATCACAATTTTCCCAACAGTACACATTCACTTCATGTTTATAGATCACACTTTGGTAATTCTCATCAGTATTTCAAAATTTTTCAGAACACTACTGCACATTTGACCATGATACAGCATGTGTCAAATGCATTAATGATTGGCTACCCAATGTGGACAGAGAGTGGGATGGAGCTCCCCGATTAAAACAAGCTTGGAAGGAGGAGTGGCATCCACTTCCATAATAGCGTGCCTCTGGAAACCCTATGAACCTGGAGAGAGGATGAAAGGCACCCAAGCGTTGAGGACTCTCCTTCATAGGGTCGCTATGAGTCTCCTGTGACTCGATGGCACTTAACAACAACAACACTGCACATTTAGTAGATGACAGACATAACTTTTATACGCACTGAAAAAAACAATCTGTGACTCACTTTCTTGTGAAATATGCTTTATTGCAGTAGCCTGGAACCGGAATTCACTGGTTGTACATTTCCAACATTTGTTTTCAACTAATGAGGTCTAGAACCTAAAAAGCCTCTGAAATGTCTATTTCACGTATTCTCAATTAATTACATTTTGTTTTTTCTTTCACTGAAGATTCTTTTCACAGTTTGCCAGAGAAATCACCATGAAAATAGTTAGATTAAAACCTCGTGAAGAAACTCACCCAAGAGCCACTTGTTTGTGCCCTGCAGTGGCTTGTAAGGTGCTGGGATGCCGGAAGCTGTGATACCAGAATTTCAACTGCTACAGAGTCTCCAATGGTGGACAGTTTCCAGTGGAGCTTCCAGACAAAGAGAGACTAGAAAGAGCGGTCTGACAAACTTTCAGAAACTCAGCCAGTGAAAAACTCCATGAACCACACAGAATAGTGTCTGATGCAGTGCTGGGTAATGATCCCTTAGGCTGGAAGGCACTCAAAATACGCAGCTGCCCCAGTGGTGGATAGACCAACAAACCCCAAGACTGGACAGGACCGTATTTTATTCTACTGTGCACAGGTCTGCTGATTGATGCTAAAGCCGCAGTAATGAACAAGGGATGGACAGATGTTACATATCAGCCATTGGTACTAAATGCAAATTTTAAATATTTCAGTCTGAAGAAAGCTTTCACCATCATGCTGGTGAGGAGCAGTCCTTTCTGCTGTCCATGCAGGGCCTGAACTGCTCTCCTTGCCCCCACACTCCTGCTTACATCCCTCCTCTCTGCCTCTCAACGTCCCCTCTGCTGGTCTCAATGTTCGTCCACAGCCAGCTAGGCGGAGGTGCAGAGGGTCCAGCAAGACCATTCTGAGGACCAGCTCCTCTCCCTCTCAGCTCCCTTAGCCTCACACTGTCTCTGCAGGAAGCTCTGGCACACAAATGTGCTCCTGAGTCAGCGAGGTCACCTGAGAACAACAGCCTGTGACACCAGAACACGGTAAACCAAATGACTCATTAGGCAAGGCCACGCTGGATCAATATCCGTTCAGGCCCCAGAGCAAAGCTCTGTTCTCTGCTGACAAGGAGGTTCCAAGCGTGGCACTCAGTAAGTTAACACCATTCATGAAAGCCGATTAGGGACCCCCAGAAGATATATATCAACATACTACTAACTGCTGTTCTCAAGTAGTTAGTTATAATCTAGGAGGAGGGAACTGCATAGGATTATGAAATAGGCTCACGACTCTGGAGTCATTTACACTGGTTCTAAGTACAGGCTAAGATGTTAAACGGGTAACTAATTAATCAACCAATCTGAGAGAGAAAGAGAGAGAGAATGAATCTGAGAGAGAAAGAGAGAGAGAATGTAAAAAATCTCGACAGTCATTCCAACTCGACAATTCTAATGTTTCCTTCTTTAGATCAGTCATCTTTGTCCAACATCACATATGAAAGCCACAGCATGTTTACACAGATATCAGAGCCCTTAGAGATTCTGTTGTGTATCATCTGCTTGCTTGCTAAAACTGGCCACAGTAACGGCATTCTGGACGGGTCATGCCCCCAAACTGTCACCAGGTGCAGGGTGGGACAGAACGATCCCTCACTGCCCTCCAGTAGCTGAGAACTGATTCTGGAACCACCACGCGCCAAGGAGGGCACCAGGTCTAAGATACAAAGACAAGTCAAAACAAGGATCTGGATCCAAGAGAAGTAAGATTTGGATCATCATTAGTTTTTTTTACTTTTAACCCTTTAATAAAAGCCTAATTTGAGGCATCCATTAGTTTCACTTTTAGAGAAAGCAGCTCAAGGTCCATGAGAATGGAACTTGATCAAGGTCAACAAGCTAGCAAATGGACAGTATTCAAATTCAAATGACTGCTTACAAAGAGTGCTCTCATGAGGAAAGGGTATACGTATGTTACAGGCTAAAGTGTTGTTATTGTCCACTGAGTCAGAATCGACTTATAGCTTATCGTCTAGTGGGCTTTCAGAGGCAGTAAATGGCAAAGGAAGAGGCTGCACACCCTATTCCCTCAGAGCAGTTGGTAGATTTGAACCATGTGCCTTTGGGATTGCAGCACAGAGTCTTACCACAAGAGTTCCCTATATGCTGAACAAAGGGTCTCTAGGCCTTCTTCATGTTAGGTGCTGTTGAGTATGACACTTAGTGACCCTATGAACCACAGATTTGAAACCTTGTTCAATTCTGTGCCATCCTCATACCTCCTGACACCCTTGAGCCCACTGCAGCAATCACTGTGTCAATCTGTCTGGTTGAGGGTCTTCCTCTCCTTTGCCGACCCTCCATCATTCCAAGAAGGACGTCCTGCTCCTAGGAACAGCCTTTCCTAGACACATGCTTGAAGTTATGTGGGCTGAAGCTTTATCATCTTTGCCTCCAAGGAGTGCTCTGGCTGCACTTTCTCTAAGACATATTTGTTTGTCCTTTTGGCAGAAAACCCTATGGCTTCCTTCAGAAGGTCTGAACCACCAGCCTTTAGGTTAGTGTTGTTTGGGGCCATCAAGTCATGTACAACAGTGACCCAATAGAAAATGGATCTGAACCTTGCCTTCCTTTCTCTGACTCTCCAACTCTCCCAGCATGCATTTCTCCAAAGACTGGCTCCCTCTGACAAACATGCGCCCCAAAGTATGTGAGATGAAGTTTCACCATCCTTGCCTCCAACGTGTGGCCTGGTTGCACCTTCTCTAAGACATACTTGTTCTTTCGGCAGGCCATGGGGTATGTGGTACTCTTTCGTTGAACCCACAGCTCAAAGGCAGTGATTCTTCCTAGGTTAGTAGTCAAGTGCAGTCTGTGTCACTTACAACCCCATCTGGCCATGCTGTGTTGTTGTTATATGCCGTCAAGTCACCTGTGACCCACAGCGACCCTGTCTACAACAGCTCTGAACCTTGCTCTAGCCTGAGCCAACATTATTGTCTTCGACACACCTACCCCTATTATCCCAGTCACTGAGTTAATCCATCTCATTGAGGGTCTTCCTCTCTTGAACTAACCCTCCACCCTCCCAAGTATGACATCCCTCTCCAAGGACTGGTTCCTCCTTGCAACATACCCAAAGTATGTCAGATGAAGCTTCAGAATCCTTGCCTCTAAGGAGCAGCCTGGCTTCACCCACTTCAGGGCAAACCTGTTTATTTTCTTAGCAGTCCATGGTATGTTCAATACTCTTCTCCAGCACCACAGCTCAAAGGCATCAATTCTCCTTCTATCATCCCTAGTCATTGGCCAGCTCTCTGATGCATAGCAAGTGATTGCAAAGACCATGGTACGTATCAGGCACACCTTAGTCTCCAGACTGACATCGTTGCACTTCAGTACTTCAGAGAGCAGACTTTTTAACAGCAGACTTTCCAATCCCAATACATCTTTTAATTTCCTGGTTGTTGGTATCAGAGTGTTGACTGTGGAACCAAGCAAACCAAAACTGTGAACAATCTCAATCTCTTCACTATCCATCATGATGCTGCCAGTTGGCCCAGTTGTGAGAATCTTTGTTTTCTTGATATTGAGCCTCAATCCATACTGAAGACTACAGTCCCGTACCTTCCACAGCAAACGCTTCAGGGCCTCCTCAGTTTCAGCAAGCAGGGTTGTGTCATCTTCTTAAAACAGATTGTTGATGAGTCTTCCTCTATCCCGATGCCACATTTCTCCTCATAGAGCCCAGCCTCCTGGATAATCTGTTCTGCATATAGAATGAAAAAGTATGGGGATAGGACACAGTCCTGGAGTACACCCTTCCCAATTTTGAGCCATGAAGTATTTCCTTGCTCAATTCCGATGACTGCCTCCTGTTCCAAGTATAGTTTTTGCATAAGCACAATCAAGTGTTCTGGGATTCCTATTCTTAGTTCACTTTAAAGCGATAACACATTTC